CTATCCTTTCGAAGACGTGGATGGGGGAGTGGACGGCACCGTGCGGGCTCACATCATCAGCGGAAGGCTTCCTTGTTGCGCTGAGCCAGCGATTTGCTGTCTCTGCTGAGGCCGCCCGCGAACACTCGGGTAAGGGGCAAGCATCGTATGCGAGATATTGCAACAAGAACGCGAAAGCAAAGAGCTTCACCAGCGGTGACGCAGTGCTGGTCCTGGAACCCGGCTCAACCAACGCCCTCATAAAGAGATGGAAGGGCCCAGAACGCGTGGTCGAACAGGAGAGACCTAGTAGCTACCTCATCCGTTTCGACGACGAATCACAGAGGGTGGTACATGCGAACAAGTTACGTCCATATCACGAGAGACTGTGCACGCTGGGCGTAATTTCTGAAAAAGATGAGGACTTCGAAAGCATTCCCGACGTCCCCCTCGAGCGACGGGTGATGCCTAACTCTCTAGACGTCCTCGGAGCGTGGGACCATTTGGATTAGAGACGACATCGACAGCTACAAGACCTGCTCCAGTCCTTTAAGGAAATGTTCAACTTCGAGATTAGGAGATGCAAGATCGGCGCACACACGATCGAACTCATACTTGGAGGGAAACTCAAGCAAAGCTACCCGTACAAGATACCAATGGCCTATCGGGGCGAAGTGGAGCGCCAGATCGACGGGTTGCTCGATACGAAGCTGATATATCCCGTGGAATCACGTTGCTCGCACCCAGTCATGTGTGTCGGAAAAAAAGGATGGCAGCATGCGTCTATGTATCGATTATACATAGTTCAATGCCCTAACGCTGCCTGACTCTTTCCTCATGACGAACGCATCCAAGACTCTGCTCCAGGTGGCTCCGGCAAGTTTTATTACAACGCTGGACATGCTGAGGGGGTACTGGCCAATCCCAATGGACCCTGTGTCGGAGAAGTATACGGCCTTTGAGAAGTACACGGCATGGAGGCCAGTATCCGTGGCGGGTCATGCTTTACGGATTGAAGAATTCAAAACCCACGTTCCAAAGGGCAATGAACGAAGCTTTGTCGCCGCATCGTCAGTATGCCCGCGCGTATATTGACGATGTGGCCGTCTTTTCCCATTCGTGGGAAGAACACCTCAGGCACCTGACGGCGGTTCTCCGGACACTGGCGGAAGTAGGTCTGGCAGTTAACCTCAACAAATGCAACTTTGCCCAGTTGGAGGTCCGGTACTTGGGACACGTGGTGGGTTCACGACTGCATGCGCCTGACCCCAATCGGATTGAGGAGATATCGAAACTGAAGCGTCTAACCACCAAGAAATGAGCTTCGTAGTGTGTTGGGGCTATGTAACTATTCCAGAGACTACGTGCCGAACCTCTCCGACGTCGTTTTTCCTCTGACACAGCTGACTGGAAAACGGGTGCCAAACGACATACCCTGGGGGCGGCAGGAGCAGGCGGTGTTTGACGCCTTGAAGCAAAGCAAAACGTCATTTGTTCATGTAATATGGACCCGTAATAACTCCTATAATATCGTATAAGGTCACTAAATTAAAAGTTATGAGATAACTGTTGGACAGCATTCATTCTGAAAATATTTTGACGATTTTGAATCAAATTAAGTTCAATACCCGACCACTTTCGTCGAAGTGTCTGGCCTCAAAATATACACAGGATCCTTCATTTCACCAGGAAATCACTGATTGCATAACGGACGACGTATATTGCATGGTGTATCTTAGTTTCAAAACAATCTTTCTACGGGACGATTTTTTTCTACCTTGGACTTGGGATTATTAGTTCCGGGACCATTAGTTCCAAAACCATTTGTCCGGGACCATTAGTTCCGGGACCATTTGTTCTTTCACCCGGCAATTGCACCAGTCAAGCTTCAATGCAACTCGGAAACCAGTCTAAATTATGTCTAAAAGTGTAACTGTATTTGTACAGAGGGCTTTGTCAGTTTTTTTTTTTTTTTGTGGTTTGTTGTTATTTATTTGAGTCTGAAAAATTATTTCAACTTTTCGTGAGTTCGTAACGTCCGTATGCGAAGAACCCGACTATGTCAGATGACATTGTTCTATTCCTTCTGGTATCTGTGTGTCGAAGTGCTCAGTTTTGGTGAACTGTTTCGGTTGGGTTTCTTTCTGGGCCTGCTGTTAATGTTTAGTTCTTTGGTGTATTCGGAACAAACTGGCTTAGAAATTGAGTCACCTTGAGAGCAAAATTTGTTTTCTTGTATAAATGTTAAGATGTGGATGACCTTGGGAGATGGATATAAAATCGACGAAAATAAGTTTTGTCACCTGAGTTCGAGACTCTGTCTGCCACTCTTTTTTGTCCCTTCAAATTTATCTCCAAGTTCCGTCCCAGTCTTAAGATTAAATGTAATGATAAAAAAAATTTTTTCATGGCGTTCATTTTTGTTAGATATCGCTCTCGCACTACAGAAAATGACTGAATATTCGGGCGGCGCAGAAAAGCTCGCCGGAGAAAAGCTCACCGGATAAACGCTCACCGCAAAATCGGCAGATGTGGAGAAAAGCTCAACGGCCCTTGAGCGGACGCAGAGAAACGCTCATCGAATATTTTTTTCTTCTTAGCTTCGCAGATGATTGTCCGCTAAAACAATTGTCCTCTGCTTCGCAATATTGTTGAAGTTTATTGGGCATATCTACTAATTTCTCACAAATAATTAATAACCCATTCTGACTAATAATGACGCCTCAAGTATAAAATCAGAACATGGGACACCCTTTAAAAAGAAAACTTAATTCACAGCTTGACAGTGCGCCTTCCGTGGCTCTGTCAGATAAAGAGGTTTGTGTTTTGCAAGCTAATATCAATGGCGGTGTGCAAACCGGTTTCAGCTCCGAAGATTGTGTGGTGGCTGATAGATGAGTAGGTGTTTGCTGATGTAATTACTGTCGGCTACGCTGTTCTTTTTGTTTTTCCACTAATAAACTTTTAGTTGCGAAAACAGCTTCGCTCTGTCGTGTTTGTTGTCTTCATTTCGTCTTCGTCGTTTGATCTGTTTTCATCGGTAACCGGACAGAAGCTCACCGAACAAAAGCTTACCCGTTTTTTCACAGATCCGTACAAAGATTACCTCATTTTTCTTTTTTTGGTACCCCGGGCGAAACACAGGCTGGGATAAAGTACGGACGCGATTCACATTGCGCCATTTTTAGGAGAACTGGCATCCCATCTTATGCAAAGGTGTCGACAGATAAGCCATAACATACAGAGAAGCAACGATTTGGGACCAAAAGTTAGGTCACTGAAACTGAGTGGAGCTGACAAGATCAAGCTTACTTGACTCAAGGTATGCCGATGCACCCTTGTGCCACGCCCAAGAAACTTCGGGAACCGACGTTTTTGAACCCGAAGAGTGACCGAAGAAGCGAAGTCACCCTCTCTCGACTTCGCTTTTTCATTATGCAAATGTCACGCTAAATGCGCACATAAAGGTGAGGCACAATGTCTCTTCATTACTAGTGCATGGGTTTACTTAGGATTCAGGGTAATATTTTAACTGAACGGCTAGAAAAGCAAAATTTATTCCGTCATTCAGCGTCGTAGATGAATTTGAAATCAAGGATTATCTCAGGCTGTTGTGAACAGGAAACTGAAGCGAAACTGTAAACAAACCATTCTGTTACGAAGTTTTAAAAATATTTTCTAGGAACGGGAGTGTGGCCTTTTGGACAGATGACCAATTTAGAAAGCTTGCGGAATTTTGAATAGGCTCGCGTTCTTTCCACCACTCCTTGTGCTTGAAGGACTGACCTACATCAGGGAAAAGTCTACCGGTGACATCGGCGACCTGCTTTGATTGCACGTATATCAACGGCCCCATCCGTTATACTTCTGCTCCTTCTGCGGCGGCACCCAGAGCGAATTCTTCCATTTGCCTGACTGTGTTCCGACAACGACCGGAGTTTCTCCCTACGGAATGGTGGAATATGTACGACGCCACTCTTCAAGATAAAGACCGGACATACAACTGCGAAGGATGTCACACCGGATTTCAAAATCTGGTCGGCCACGCCTATATAAGCGTCTGGATGCTGCTGGAATACCCACGGGAAAATCGGGGTTCGTTACCACGGCATTGACGCAGGCCCGCAGAGGTGAACCCCCAGAGAAGCGTGTGGCGAAAAGCCACTCTGTGCCTGCAAAATTGCGTGAAAACTATTTTCGAGGGATCACAGGTACGGGGTACGGGCCGTTCGTCGAAAGGGAATTCGCAATAGGGCAACTCGTAGCAAGGCCGTTCGTCGCACAGGGCAAGTCGTCATAGGACGATTCGTCACTGCGACAACTTATCGAAAAACGGGAGTTTTGAAATAGCGCTTTGTCTAAACGAAATTAAAAGCCTCGCCAAAGGTATTATAACCCAACGCTATTCTTCGCATTGACCTATTCTTAAGTGTTCGGTAGCTTTGTTATTCAGCTTGTGGGTAGTATCCTGTTTAGAAAGATTAGTCTCCTGTTTGGTTCCAAGTTGATAAATATTTTAGTTGACCTTGGAAGCACAATGTATAACGCTTTAAGGATTACTTTTTTATTCACCTTCGAGTTCACAGTCTTTCTCTGGTTCCCCTACTGACAAACGTTTTCATTCAGCTTAACTTACAGAATTTCGAAGAAGGATCTGGAAATGCGACTTCCAATGACCCATTCATGAATCGGCGTACTCCTACAAAATGTTTGGTTTCCCGTGAATCTTTGAAGTCGCCATGGAAATCATCCAGACGGAGAGAGGTGGGGAAATGACACTTTTTCAGGGATTTTCATACACAGCCAACCAAAGAACTGAAACCAGTGTATACTGGATATGCCGGAAAAGGGAGAGCTGCAAAGCGAAAATAACAACCGATTTTTCCAAGCTTCAAATTTTAAAAAGCGACGAACGACCACAGCCGCGCTCCAGAACCGACCGAAATCAACAGTCTGAAGGTTCGATCAAAAATGAAGACTAGAGCAGGTGGTGACGCACAAGATTTACTTCGTTTTTCATAATGGTTCTGGTGATAAAATGCATTTGATAACATATGTAATTTAATTTTCAGTGGAAGGACGCGACCAAGTTCAGCATATTCTCTTGGACGCGGCTGCAAATATCCCCGACAGCACTGCGTTACAACTTCCCTCTACGTCAACTCTACGTTGAATCATTCGTAGACAGAGGCAAGTGCAACATTTAATTTTGCCCTCCCACCCTACCGAGAGGGGGTACCCTCCGCGAGGACATCAAGCTCCCAAGAGACTACACGGTGCGTACATAAAACATTACGCGGTTGATTTACATGCCATATAACATTACCATTATGCGGTTGATTTAAATGCCATATTTGCTTGTAGGTGAACTGAAAGGAAGAGCCGTTTCTTTTGCACAAGAGTGGCGAGGGCGACGTCAACCGGCTCATCCTATTTGCAACACGGCGCAATCTGGAGTGTTTGGGAGGTGCAAGCGCCTGGTTTTGTGATGGCACGTTCAAGGTGGTGCCCTCCTTGTTCTACCAACTCTGCACTATACATGCGCTGAAGAACGGTATCACCGTACCCATGGTGTACGGTTTACTTACAAACAAAACTGTGGCAACACACCGCAGGTAAGTTTCAATTATAAGGTTGCCCTATTAGGCGTTATCTCAAGGTAATGCAATTGGCTGTGCAAACTTTTCTACTTTTTCATCTTACCAGGTTCTTTCAAGCCGTCATTGACAACATTGGACCCTGCGCTGCACAGACCCTGTACACGGACTTCGAAATGGCCGCTATCAACGCCGCTCGTGACACTATTTCAGAGGTCCAAATTCAAGGATGCTTTTTCCATCTTGCTCAGTCCGTTTATCGGAAGCTTTGCCCCTTGGGTTTTCAAGCGCGTTACGCCACGGACGAAACATTTGCAGTAAAGGATAGTCTCTTTTGGCCTGTAGAGTGTTGTTTGCTTTTCTGTATATATTGCTTATCAGTTTCTGTAGAGTTTCAAAATATTTTCCTTTTATTCCAGATGAAAATGCTCCTGGCTTCGGCATTTCTGCCTGCTGGAGACATTCCTGAAGCTTTTCAGGACATCATGGAAGCATTTTCCCCTGAGGCGATTCAAGTAGCGGACTACTTTGAGGATGTTTACATCGGCCGACCGCGACGAAACGGAATCTGCTCCGCCCAGTTGCCTCCAAAAATGTGGTCCGTGCATGAGGCGACGGTGGGTGGAATGCCGCAGACCAACAACAGTGTGGAGGCATGGCACTACGGGCTACAGATAATTTATTTTATTGCCTTATTCATGCCGCAGGCGCCATCGACAGTCTGTATGACTAAAGAGACGTTTGCGCGCACGAAAAAAGGCAAGCACACGAAGGTCCGGACAGGGCAAGCGTACCCCGTCCTGACCTTTTTGTGCTTGTCTTCTTTCGTGCGTGCAACCGTCCTTTAGAGCAACTAGCCCAACAAGTTTTATTGGACAGTTTCTATCTCGTGTTTATTTATAAAGCCCTTGATATCATTCTTTACAGAGCAACGTAAGTTGTGCTTCACCAAATTTCTGGGCGTTCTTAAAGTCACTAAAAAAGGAGCAAGCTATAACGGAGCTGAAGCTCAGCCAAGCTGCAAGCGGGGTCGTTTCCACAAGGGTGTCGCGGAAGCGGGCCGGGCACGACAGGCGGCTTCGGGCCATCCTTCATCGCTATGACGGGACCAACAACTTGGATATCGTCGAAGCATGTGCCAGAAGAATCTCTTTGTAAAGACTGGTAAAGTGCTATCACTAAGAAAACACACTTGTATTTACGCACCAAATGAGTACTCCCTTCTTATTAGTCACTAGGAGTGGTGCCAAGGTTGTGGTGGTCAAGACATTATTGAGCAGTGCCTATAAAATTAGTACAAACAAATTCCATGGGTGCGGGAAGAAATAAGTAAATAAAAGAAAAAGTGTCACTAGTAATTGCACTCACCTAAAAAGCTATGCTCAGTAAGCAACAAAACCCATAAAAAATTATCAAAAATAAATGTTTCACGAATTGCCATAGTGACGAACCGCCCAATGACAAATTGCCCTATGTGACGAATAGCCCTGCTCCATTTGTCGTGCGACGAATTATCATTTGAAGAACGGTCCTACACCCTTCAGGTACACCCAGATCTACCAAGACTGCTGGAGCTAGTGGGGGACTGCATTCGCTTCTAAGCAATCGACAAATAAATTTGTTTCTACTCTAAGCAACAAACCATGCGCCTGTCAGATTTAATTTATCGTTGCATTTTAGTGTCGCACGCATGCACCTAAGTTGTCCGCACACGTGTTAAGACCAACATGAAATTGTCTTCTTCTGAGCTTTTGTCCGGGTCTGTGATAGAATGGGTGAGTTTTTGTCCGGGATTCGTTTTCATCATGTATAATGTTTACCAACTCGCCCCATTCGCTGCCTTACAGAAGAGTAGTTCTTACATAGGTCACGAGTAACAACATTGACAGTGTGCAGCTCTGAAGGTCATGGATGGTTCGCCGTAGAAGGGCACTGTCACACAAAGGCAGCGTGCATGTCCATGGAAGAAAGAAACTTCGATATACTACTAACCATTCTATCCTTTCTCTAAGGTTAACAAAAGCTTTATAGATAACTTTAGGCACCGCGTTGTTGCGCATGCAATTTCGGATTTTCAGCTTTTACAGTTTTGCTTTTTATGTTTTAGGCAGACATTAAGTTTTCCATTTTTTTTTTTCTGTTCTCCAAGTTCAAAAAGGTTGCAGTTAGAATTTCGTTGCCTGGAGAATAAACCAAAAAAACACTAAGCCGCAAATATTAATTGTGGAGCCATATACCCAAAAAAGATTAACAGATATTACAAAAATTACATTTTCGTTTTTTTACAAAAGTGACGAATTATAATTATAATAAATTGATGTATGTTAGTTACGCATGATCCGACCACCTCCAAACGAAAAAAAAAAAATTATCGGTGGGCTTTTCTTCGCATCTGACGGTTTTGCGGTGACGTTTTTTTTCCATTGAGCCTTTCTCCGGGATTCGAATATTCGAGGCCACAGAGCTGGCATATGTGGCGTGACCAACCGGTGACCCACGACGCAGTGAACTTGTTAAGAAACCATGTACGAAGCACGTCCGGAAACCTTGTTTCTTCCCCACTTGTAGTAAACGTGCACATATTTCATTAATTTCCTTTCATTTTTTTTTTCATTACGTTTAAATGTCCCATTTCTGGGCTTTCATAAAAAGGGGAGGGCACAAAAAAAAAAAAAAAAACCTTCTACAAGGAAAACAACGTCACACACTTGAGTATCCTAGTAGGTCATGCGTCCTGAGCACCTCTCTGAAATTATCAGTGTTAGGTTCTGTAACGATGACATCAGGCAACTTGTTCCATAGTGCACTAGACAGTTGTAATGGCGAGTATTGGATAAGGTTTGTCCGCGGGGTCACTAGGGCAAGTTTACAACTGTTATCTGTTCGCAGGGATATATGATGAGGAGGTTTCAAATATTGATTTTTCGTCGATTCATTGTCGATTCATCGGTTAATAAGCCAGTGTGGTTTCTTCGGTGCTGCAAAAGGGAAATGTTTAGTTCTAAAGTCTTTAATGTTACTGTGCCCTCTAGCTTGAAATCTCGGAGCACAAAGCGCGCAGCTTTGTTCTGCACAGATTGAAGCAAATCTATTAAGAATAATTGGTGAGGGTTCCACAGATATGACGCCTACTCAACCTGAGGTTTGACCACGGTGTTATACGCAAAAAGCTAGTGTATTGTGATGCAAACTTTAAATGGCGTTTAATATACGCTAATTATCGGTTAGCTTTTGTGACGATGCTTGTTATGTAAGTCTCCTAAGTCAGGTTAGCTAAGCAACACTCGAAGGTATTTACAATTTGTTACTTTTCGACTTTGTTGCCATACCCTATTAAAAAATCTCATTTGTATGAGAAAGTTCTGTGTTCAATAAACACATATGAATCATTCAAGATAAATAAGAACATATAGGAACCATATAAGAACCATATGAGACATATATATATCTTAATTACCTCTTATATAAGAGGTAATTAAGATATATAAGAACCATATAAGAAACTTTTAAGAAGTTTCTGATAAGTTTCTTAAATGTTCTTACATACCCTATTGAAAATTCCATCAAGCTACGTAATTTGGGACACTGACTGCCAGTCAGCAGCCTTGGTGGAACGTGATGGACCATCAGACGTCATCTGATGGTCCATCAGATGACGTCTGACTGCCACTGCCAAGGGAATTTCATGAACAAGGGCAGCATTTATATAAGAGTAAAGCTATACGCACTCATAAATATCGCCAAATGCCTCGATAAAACAAAATGTTCGAGAAAAAAAAAAGAAAAAAAAAAGCAGAACCACCGCGGATCGAACCCGCGACCGCTTGCGTACACATCGGACACCTTAACCGCTGTGCTACGCCACCTTTTTTTTTTTTTTCCTTAAAAACACATTTATTTACATATTATTTACAGATGATTTCCACTCGCAGGTGGTTTGCACAACAGTTGAACAGATAGACTTGCAAAGCAGAACGAACTTGACCGTCACTGGCCCGAGCAAAACAGAGGAAAGATACGTTATCCAACCGCTACGGAAAGTCGATTTGACTATTCGTTTTATACGAGATGCTTCGGCTGCAAATACAGTTAAGCCGTCAGCATGTTATGCAAAGCACTCGTACATCACTCGCCGTACTTCAGTTCTACTCACCTGCCATGTAGAGTACTTTCGCGTCGTAGAACGATCGTTTTCTTCGCGCGTCATCAGCCCAGTAAACCTGGTACACCTTGCCGTCTTCAACTACACCGCTAAAGTCCCTTACATCGTCGGAACTCACAACGGGCTGGGTCTCGTCGAGTAGAAATTCTACTAAAACATAAGACATTGTAGAGGCCGGGGAGGACCGACAGGTTGGAGCAAGCGGGCAAACAAAACGAGTCGAGAGCGATCGTTCATGAAAGCTCGGCGAAGCCTCTATGGGCGAAGCGAAGTGCGAAGTGTCGTGTTCGGCGCTTCGGCGGGCTTCTGATCAAGGTTGTCGGTCGGTTGCGTGTCGCATCTCTAACGTCAGCGGTTTTATGGGCTCACGTCCCGAAATCGTTTTCTCGTGCATAGATTACTTTTCGTATTCATAGATTTGACGAAATAGTGGTATCCGAACGAACTTTACGTCCTTTGACCGTACTTCTGTCTGCACGTCAAAGCTTTCTGACGTACAGTCTGAGGCAATCGATGTACAGTCAAAATCACCACCAGGACATCCTGATGGCATTTCGCGGCGGCCGACTGCCACCAGGAAACCATCAGAAAGCCGACAAGCGGGGTCTGACTGGAGTTTGACTGTCGGTCAGAGTAACTTGTTGGCCCATCAGACATGCTTGACGTACAGTCAGGCACAGTCAGCGGTCCACTAGAAAACATTGACTGCCAAACAGCGTTACATTGATGGATTTTTCCTTCGGGTATCTTTTATAGTTCTTATACCGTTATATATGGTTGTTATATTTTCTTATATATCTTGTATGATTCATATGTGTTTAATGGATACAAGCAAATTCTCATACAATTGGCTTTTTAACTAGGGTACAGCTTGTAACTAAAACTTTTTTTTGTTATAAATATTCTACAGATTGTCTTTGTTACTTTCATTTCCATTTGCCACTTTTCGCACCACAATTCGAGATTACCTATATCACGTTGCAAGAGAGCACCTTCTGAATTTTGAGATACTTTTCGGCAGATGACACAGTCATTGTGGTATCGCCTGATTTTGGAGTTGATACAGTAAAGTAGGTTGTTTACATAAACAAGCAGCAGGAGTGGACTCAGCACGGTCCCCTACGGTACACCGGATCTTCAGTTGACGATGAAGAGTTGGTGTCAGAGGCGACGTACTGCGTTCGTCTTCGGTCTATCCGCAAGTTTCGTGCGGCGAAAGCTGATAAGATCAACATTGGCACGTACACCGCAGAGCACACAAAATGATTGTTTATTTTCATCTTTGCCTCGCATTTTCTAGTACCTGTAAGCATCTAAGCATTCATTAATTCGAAATTTTGCGTCCACTCGCACGAGAGTTGAGCCGGTATGGAGGTAGAATCAAAAGCAAAGAGCTGAGAAATTACTCTGCTAACGCTAAATCGGTGGAGAATTCCATCCAACCGCAAAGGAAGCTTGTAATTGTTCCGGTATCGGTCCAAGAGCCTTTACGAGCTTACTCAAGTCTGTTACGTATGGAAAGCGCACGAAAAATGTTGGCTCTCAGTCATTCCTTGCACTAAACCCGCTAATAAATGTCTCGCTCCTTCTTGCAAAGGCAAGGCAATAGTCAAAGTGATAGATTAAATCTAAAACACCTTCTAACATCATTAGTTACTTATACTTTTAAAGCAATTACCTAACGCACAATAAACAATACGCCCTATCGCAATCTGGAGCGAACGTGATAGCTCACCGGCACTGATCATTACTCTCCGAACAAAGTAGAACACCAAAAAACGAAAATAGTGGTTAGCACTCCGTAAGATGCATCGCTGTCTGACCTCTAGAGGAGCAATGCATCTCCGCAAGAGGTCTTGGAGCAGCCTCGGTGAAGAGATGCTGGACGGCAAGCATTCAATCTTGGCACTTCGTAGAGGATCGGTGAGAGGGGCCTCTAATCGAGTCTCCAGAAGCTTGATCTAAATGGGCGAGATAATCTACTGTTTGCAACGGA